ATTATCCTTTAGTGACGAATTCTAAATTGAAATTAACCGTATCCCTAAAAACCCCAAATCTTTGTTTTATTTCAATAAACAAAACAGCCTACTAATATTAAATTCAGTAGCATACGGAAGTTTTGAAAAACAGCACAGAGTAAAGCGTGACAGCCTTTCGCGAATTATTCCATATTTTCCATAGTTGGTTTGTAAGGATTAGCTTTGTTTATACGACTTGATCACGGATTGATAATTGCAAAGTCTTGAATTGTTTAATTTATCATCTTCATACATTTTTGAAACCGTTTTTAAAAGAAATCAGTGAATATCCAAATTATTTCTGATCATGTGGTCTTTACAGTATGATCACTTTTAAACTTCTATCTGAGGGACAAGTGTCGACAAAGTACAGGTTCAGTACTCCAGGCCTCACTCAGACAAATCCTCATGCAGTTACTGGTCGTCATTCAGGCTTTATCTTTTCTCTTAGTAAATTAACATCAGTCTGTTCAACCAGTTCTGCCTCAGCTAATCACAATGTTTTTCTAGGATAAAAGGGATTTGTTAATGACTGGACCTACGTTTGATAGACTGATTTCTTTGCAAAGAAATAATTAGTGAGCCACTACATTTATTCCCCCTTGTGAAATTTGAATGAAGCAAGAACAACAGTGGTATAGCAGTTAGGACGCTCGTCGATCATGTACATGGTCCGGGGTTCGATCCCCAGCCAACGCACTCCTTAACCTCGCTAAGCCAGAAATAATGCTAGCTTGAAGCCCAATGTTCCACTGGGAGCGTGAAGGAAAGAAAATGAAAATGGTGACACCAGAAGTGTGTTTGTTCATTTTCCTACAATTAAATGCCATCCATCACATTTCTTCCATCCAATAATTAGTCGAATTCGGCTAAAAAATAATGCTGACGGGAGAGACTTAATTAACAATGTTTACTTATGACGTGGTGGTGTAAGAAGGTAATGAATAAACTCACTCCACTGGGGAACGTGGAGGAAAAGAAAAGAAAAAAAAGAACGACAGTTTGCGTGGAATAAAACCGTACCATCATGTATTTCGTTGACTTATCATCAGCTGCTGTGTAAGCATGTTAAAACTGTTTCTGCACATACACCTAATAATGTCTTTTGGCTGCAAGCAGCTGATGACAAGCCAATGAAATAAATGATGATACCATTTTATTCTGCACAAACTGCTGTCATTGCTTTATTCAAACAGTTAGTGCATCTGCAATGAAAACACCTGTTTTCCTGCAGTATTCTAAAGCTTCATTTCAGTGTCGAGTTAGCTTTGCTTCAAAAGAAGACTGTCAGCGTTACGTTTCCGAATGAATTCTTTGACAAATAGAAATGTAGATCACTAGATTTAATTTTGATTAGACTGATACATGCATATCCAGGGTTCTAACTTCCGTTACATAATATTTTCACAATAATCTACATCTACATCTTTAAATCTTCGTGTTGTAACATTTGTTGGTGAATAATATTTGTCTATTTTCTTTTAGTTTTTTCCATCTTCCGAATCTTAAATTGATTTGCTGATTAGTGGAGAAGTATTTAGTGCTAATAAACAAGCGTCACAGTTAGTATTATATCTATACATGTCTTTCTCATAGTCGTCTGTAAACCTGTTATAATGCTCTATAATAATCACCTTCTGAGTGAAGCATTTAAAATACAGTAAAGAAGATGATTTGTAGTCAGCGCGGAAATCTCCCAGCACAAACTGAATACTATAATCATGTGAAGAATTTGCCATCTGTTTGGAAACAAAGATTTGCATAAGGTTTGTTTATCACATAGTAGTGAAAGTTTTCATATGAGTACATTTAGCCATCAAACACCAACTTCCATGATGTCAGTAGGTAATTTACGCACACGTACTTTGCATTTCAAAGAAACCAATTTTAAACAGATTACCAGTAAAAATGTTTCATGAGTAAAACCTCTGGTCTTTCCGAAGGCGGATTTCAAACAGATCGAAGTAACCGATGTCAGTTTGATTAGTAAATTTTATAGCATCGGTGGTAGACAGGTGCATCTCCTATAAGCATTTTTAAAAACCTACGCATTATCTTTCAAAAGTTGTTTAATAAATGTCGACAAAATACTCCAGATTAGAATACCAAAGACCAGCTGACCTTATCCTCATTTCATCTTATCTGACATCAATGAAGTATCCGGCTGTCAATCAAATAAGAAGCCTATTGCAAAGCAGTTAGTTAAGCCTTACTATACGACTGCCTGATATGCTATTCAAATCTACATGATTTAAAAATGCTACATTTTTTAATTATTTTGAAGTCTGAAGAGCAGATTTGTGCATCAAAATTAGGCCAGCTTTCTTGGATGTCAGTTCTTATCCACTGTGTTTATGAATTTCTAGTTGATCACAATGCTACCTACTGCCATTGATGATATTCCTGACTGTGGTAGACTGAATCATGGAAAGCGAACTGTAGGGCGCGAGAAGAAGGTTGTATATTGGACAGACGAAAGGCATTAAAATATATGGACACCCAGGACGATTCATGTCTAATGTCACACAAACTCAAGAAATTTCAGGCGAAAACCAATGAGTTGTGCTGAAGGTGCGTAATAGACAACGATGACAACAACAAGAGGCACAAATCAGTATCAACCGGACACAAATGAAGGTAGTCAATTTTCTGACTCATCGGAGCTGCATTGTTTCACCTAAAGAAGGCGCAGATCCGGGTGCCAAAGCCAGTCTGTACCCAAAAAGTGGGATAGTTATTCATTAATCCGAAGTCAGTGAGAAAATCTGCTACACTTACCATAAGGAACAAGGTTAGGATTTCCAATACAAATGTTAACTGATCTTGTTCTTCCATAAGGTTCAGAGACTTGGTACGTCACTGGAAGCATTTCCAAAATGCTTCAGACTTTTATTAACAGCTAACTACACTCGATACTGAAGATCAAATGATGCGAAAGGACTAGCAACAAACAACTTTTTTAACCTAGCAAACAAGTACCCAATGACCAACAAATATGCAGATGATAATAGAGACGGATTGGATATATGTTGACAAGACCGTGCGGTGTTCAAGGCCTTGGAGTGGAACCTGATTGCGAAAATGTGGAAGACAATGTGTTAGGTGTCTGAGTGTAACGCAGGTAAGGTTGTGTAAAGAGGAGATGGGAAGTTATGATAAATCATCGAGCCAGTTACAAAGAACTACTGAGAACACAGAGAAATACGGATGTGCTGCTGAAGCCTTACATTCCATTCGAAACTCAATGAAATAACAAAATAAATAAATAACCACTCAACAGAAGAAAGTCATACTATTTACAGGAGTATGAATTCCGAGAAAGAGCTAACTGTAACTAAGTCTACAGAGAGGATATTTGTATGAAGTCTTTTTTGAAATACTGGGTTTAACTTACTTTAGATGAATGAACTTAGTATTTGCGACCTCTAGAGAGTGTTACTCAAAATCCCTACTAAACCAATACTTGAAAATTATTCAAAATCATTCAAAAATATAAAGATTTAATTCAGTTTTCGTCATTTTCGCTACCTTAAACATCACCTGACTGTCGTTTCACCTCTAAAATCTGGTTTTATTTTTCTATTATAACACAAGTTCATAATTTCATTATCTCAACTATGCTTATTACTTTTATTAATGAAAAGACAACTCTAATTACTAATGGTTTGATGAGATATGTGTATGCATACGCAAGCCAGATCGTACACAATGGAAGAACTGCTATTATAAAAACGTGCTTATTACTTCTACACGAGGAGATTAGAAAACCCTACAAATGGTATATATGCATACTGAGTAGTCGTAGAACAAGGTAGAACCATAAAAGAATGAATATTAGACTGTTTAAAAATCCAGTCTATGGATTCTTCTCTTACACATCACCGGTCTACACCTTGCATTCTTGTTAGAGTCTTAACAATTGTAGTTTTTCTCTTATAAACTATTCTATGTGCAAGAGATTGCCATTACTATTTATTTTCTCCACAAATAAACCAGTGAAAAAAATTACTTTTAGGGGCATTTCGCAGATTCATATTTGCTTAATTTTTCACCGTCAGGTGTTAAGCGAATCGATAATTTTTACGCTGTTTAAAAGAAAAACAACCTGCATCTGTATGCAGTTTCTCCGTTTCCCTGAGCATTCAATTTGGACAGTTCCGAAATTTTACATTCAGCTTTATTTCAATATTGTCAAAACAATACCTATAATAACTCTAGTTCAATAACATCAGTAAATTGTTAAATAATAGCCTTAGATTAGTAGACAGCAACTAGTGTATTTAGTGATTACTCAAGGTGGATTGAGAATTCGAGCTGCTGTAGGTTTTATAACCGGTGGACGCTAAACTACTAGCCCGTTATTCTACCGACAAAAGCATGAAACCTAGCCGCTTAACTGGACACTACTTCAGTATGAGGTCATGTGAATAATCAAAGGACAATTATGTATGATTACTTCACAAGGCTTCACAAGGATAATAATAATAATCTATGATGTCTGCAGTGAGATAACCACTCAAATGGTGGTTGGGTCACGTGGGTGATATTGTGGTTTGGCTTAAGTTAGTAGTCTTGATCCCATTCGTCGGAATTCCGCAGCACTTGAGACTAATGTATTGCATCACTTATTAACTAGTGCTGTTCGTTATCTGAAACCATAATGTGATGCATCCATTGGTCTTATATTGATGGAGAATAGTTTCTTTTTCATACGAATTCTGTCACGTCACTGAACTTTTATTAGTTTTCTGTATGACGGTCGCATAATACAATCTGCTGAGTGAATAATAATAATCGAATCGAATGATAGAATAGAGCTGTAATAAACATCCAAAAAATGTGGAAATGTATAACAGTGCACCTATTAAAAACAACTAGCATCACCATGAAAAACATAACCAATACAGGAATGGTTATTTACCAGTAGAAATTAAACATATATATATATAAATTTGTCCGTTATGATAGCTGTAACTTACGTATTGTTTGAGCCAATACTAGCATTATTTTGATTATCTTCAATATCTCCTCGAATTTCTCTACCGAACAATCCAAAAGGCTTTTTGAATGTAACTGAAATAAGGGAAAGAGGAAAACAAAAATTATAGGAATGCAATCTACTGAAGACTTCTTGATATTCCCTGGTAGTAAGTGTTGTGTACAGTAGTTACAAACAAGGCATATATCATGTTATTACAAGTGGATTAATCAATATAATCTATTCAACTTAAGGTGTACACATTGTCGAGGACATTGATGGTTAACTAGCAGAGTGTAAATAGTATTCTTCAATAATTAAAATGTTTTCAAGTGAATCACTGTTGATATAAATTGTTATATACATGTTATGAAACTGACAGTAATGGGATGGATGTTGAACATCTAATCAAATTGTATCCTTCCATTTCGGTCAGCTGATTGTTAGAAACAAAAATGCTATTTTTAATTGTCGGTTTGCAGGCATTTGATTGATATATAGTCTCAATTACTAAATGACTTCATTTAGCGAACCACTGAAAACCAGAGAATACGTGACGGTTGTTTTGTCCTGGTCCAACACTCTTCGGCAGTAGGCACCCACAACTCAATGGAGACGGAATCCTGTACGTTTACGCTATAGCTCTCAAATAGGCAGAAGCTAGGATTCACCGGCCCCTGGATTCCCTCCCGGTAGCTGGAGGGCTGTAAGCATAAACTTAAAGTCCCAGGATGTCGTTCCATGCTTCCAAACTGTTCCTAACTGGAACAAGACAGCTATCTATTTCTCCCTGGTTTTCAGTAGTCCATCAAATGAAGACAACTTCCCATTTAGTTCTGTTTTCATTGGAAATAAAACATCGTTTTTGTAGTTGTGATCCCTGATAACAGGAATGGTAGTCAGCAGTGGATCCAGGAAGCGGCGTTTTGTCCTATCTTGAACTCATCAAGTGGACATCGCCTGCGTCCTCAGTAGATAGTAATAATAATAAGATAAGGTGGCTTATTAATGTATTACTGCATGATTTCAGTTCTCCCAGATGATACGTAAAACCCCTTTTTTGCATCTTTATGCGAACTTAATTGGCAATAACTAGGTGTGTGTGTGTGTGTGATCGGATCGTTCGAAATACATGACAGAGATAGTTGATAAACTCTGTCTTATAATAACACCTATCTAAGTTTAATAAAGGGACTAAGTATGTATTTCAAAGAAAGCATAATAATAAATTACATAAAACCATGGAATAGAGGAGAAAAAGAGTATTTCGTTAACTCAGTGTTATTTTTTGTTGAACTAAAAGCGAAAATCAACACATTTTAAACAACTGACACATAATTTTGAATATTCAGTTTTGCTCTACTTAATAAATATATAGCCAAAAAAAAGGGAAAAAGACGACGTCGACTAGAAGGGGGAGTGAAAAGGAAAACATTTTTGAATGTGAAAATACAATTGCGTAAGAGATTTTCCTTCAGAACAAAGCAACAATATAAACTGTGTGCATTTACATAGACATATATTATTAATAAACCACAATGCTATTCGCTTATTTCTATGTGCTTCAAGGAAAGTGTGTGTTGCATTGATGCATTGAAAGTTTGTATTTCTGCGTAAAACCAGAATGAAAAGCTCTATAAATTTATCTTTTGCTTTTACTATGAAGCATACTGATGCACAAGTCAGAAAGCACTGGAATGACGGTGAAAAAATGATCGTCTGTTTGTGTGTGTGTGTGTGTGTAAGTGAGGTAACGGAAGAGAGACAGATTGATAGGGGGAAGATGTAATAATGCAGTCGAGAGAACATATGTTTTGAATACAACTAACTTTATTCTGATAAACAGTTGTTCACGCTTAAGAAAGCAAATTCTTGGTAATATCATTAGCTGAATTCCAATAGTTCCAATGTTAGGTGAAATAAATTCAAGTAGTCTAGACAACTCAGAAATATGTTTCAGAGAAAATTAATCAATCCTATCCCATGATCAAGTTTCACAGGAAAAGTATAGAGGTATCATTCAGGGTACTGGTTATTTGACTGCTGGGGTGGGGGGAAGGTAATACAGTTCTATCAGCTAACCGCATTCAATCGATCCGGCAATTTCAGTAACTCCAATTGATACTAAATAGTTGAAGTCATTCAGTAGAATGATCCGCTTTACCTAGATCTCATGTTCAATGTAACATTCCGGGAAAATAAGTTCACAAACACAGATGAGCACAGCTATCCTTATATATTATTATTATATTATTATTTCCTTCACGTTCCCAGTGGAACATAGGGCTCCAAGCTAGAGGCTTGAAGTTTCTGTAGCAGTGTTAATTTTTACAGGATGAGGTTGCTAGCCTCATGCCCAACCTTTCCTCTTTACCAGTCTCACCACTGGCTTAGCGAGGTAAGGGAGTGCGTCGGCCGGGGATCGAACCCCGGACCATGTACATGGTTGGCGAGCATCCTAACCGCTATACCACCGACGCATCCTTATATATATGTATATATATATGTATATATATATATATATGAATCCACTACCTGGATAACTCATCAGTTTATGTATCTGATCTCAGCACTCTTTGATAAAGCTTCTGTTTTGTAAAGGAGAGATTGTCTCTCTACAGTTTCAGAAATCGTAGATCAACCGTTTTTTTGTTACTCATATCTCCTAATCAACTGAAATTATATCAAATACTTTTCTGTCGTGAAATTATGGTTATTACAACCAGAAGTGTAACTAAAACGGACAACACACATCCTTCTAAAGTTCTGGACGTATACTACTCAAAAATGTTTTTTATTCAGAGACTTCAATTCCTATACAGTATGGTGGACGCTTTCTGATTGAATTAGTTGACAGAGAGCTATATTTGTGAACCGCGAGAACTTAAAATCCATAGGCCATTGGATTCCAACTCGGAGGCTGTATGGTCAACGGTCTCATCGCGCAAACTTAAGATCCTTGGTTTGATCCCTGGTGCAGTCGTCAATGCGTGGTGATGACGAAGAGTCACCAGGTAGGAGTAAACAGTTTTCCAGTGCTCTTTAATCTCCAATGTTTCTCTAAGTGACGTCAGTTCATAACCACACCAATGAATTGATCTTTTACCAACTTAATAAAACGCTAACCGAAATACTCCATGCAGAAGGCATCATCATTTAATGTAGTAAACTGCTGAAAGCGCAATCCTAATAAGGTATAATTTCAATCCCAAGGAAATTTTCGATATTAAGGAAGGAAGGAGGGAAGGAAGGAAGGAAAGAACTATATACATATTGCATGCATGCTTACAAACATAAAGAGAACTGATGAGAGATCCTGTAGGAATTATGCTTTAAGTCATAATTTAATCAATCAAAATTGACAAAATTCATCAATAACAATAACATTAACAGCCTGGTTATCAGCAAATTTCTAAATTCATTTTAGCATGACATTTGTGGTGCTAGTAGTACACCTGATTTTTGTATGCTAGCGTGTATGCAGATATGTTCGTTTATGTTAAATTGGTTAACCATACAGCAGTCTATTCAAATATAAGCAATATTAGTGCGCATTTGTGTGTGTGTGTGTGTGCTTACGAGCTTGTTTCATAGTTAGCGGTGGTGGTGGTGATGGTGGTGGGGGTTGTTCGGGGTGGTTTATATCTAGCAGAAATTAGATTCAATCGGACACACATGTTGCCACAACAATAACAAAACCAGCTGATTCTATCTCCCTATCTAACACACACGCACACGAACAATTTGTAAATAAATTTATGATAAATAAGAAAGGCATATCATATATACAATAACTGTGATGTATTTTCATCAGTTAAAGTAGTGAAAAGATCCTAAAATTTAAATACACAAGTGGGTTTTCTCCTTTATACTAGATTCATCAATCATAATTTAGAAGGATTGTTTTGTTATGAAAATAAAGATGTTTCACTATGAAAAGAAGTATTTTTTTTGAATTTTGAAGTGTTTTGAAACTATTGGTAAACAAAATCACTTAAGGCATGTAAAAATATTTCGTAATCGTGTCAGCATAAAATAGATTGAATCCTTCTGTAGTAAGCGTCTTACTTCGTCTTACTTCGACAAGCAATTCTTTTCGTTTGGAAGTAAAAGGGGATTTGGCTAGAATGAATTTGCCTACTTCAGGGATATCAGCTATATTTAGATAATTTACTGTAATATATGTGGATTCGATGGTTGGAGGCAATAGGCAGGAAGCCTTGGATCTACGTTTCGTGCGAATTAGTTGGTACTCACCAATCAGTAAGGCATATCTACAACCCTGAAGGAACTCATGTCCCTTCTGATTTTCGAGCCGGTGCCATCCAGTGCTGCAGTCGGAGGATTTACCACTGAGCCGGTGATTGACCTCCTGTAGGACTGTATAGGAAACTTCTGATTGGACACTAGTTACCAACTAGTGTCCAATCAAAAGGATATATTCGGATTATCTAGCAAAATGAAGTGGAAAAGGTTCATGGGAGAATCAGGATGGCAGACGGTTTGTATTCACTGAGTTTTAACAATTCGACAACGAGTGAATGACCATCAAAAGTCAAATTCACATTTTGCAAATTGGTTGGCAATTTTGATCTACACTGTTCGAATGGTGAAATTCAGAAAGCAAGTTATTCATATCACAATATATGTGACCTGCTTGTCACTATAAATAATGATCAAGAAAGCAAGCATATTTGCATCAAAAACTACATACTACTAATTAATTGAGATCAGTTATTGTATGCCATCCATATCAACCCGTAGTGCTGGCTAACTAACCTGATCGAGGTGATATAAACACCAGATGGCCTTTTTGCTTCTTTGGAACCGAAATCATCGGCAGTGTACCCTGCATGATTCAGCTCAGAAAGGAGAATCAGTGCAAATCATCTTATCTATAGCTAGCTGCTTAGATGAATTGGTAATTCCATAAATCGAATTCACAATTTGCAAATTACTTAGAAACTTGCAGTTTACACATTTTGAGGAGTGAAATTTCAAGGTCATTCGATGTTTAGATAACCTTCATCTGACGACTAGCAAGTACTTCTAATTGATATCGGGGGTATACAACTGATCATCGCAATCAGTCAGT